TTATCATATCCAATTTCTGGAAAGATACTGACAACTATCGAAATCGAAGTTTAAGATAACAGCTGGGTTTTTGTGGTAGGGGCTCCTTACATAGATTTTGAAATGAGAAGGTTGACATATATTCATTTTCATCAGCAGTGGGCTCCTCTGTAATTGACAGCCTAATAACAGACTGGGATGGGTGGTTGAATACAGTTCCTCTACTGTACAAAAGAGAAAAAAGGCTTGCCATTTATGCTGAAATTCAATTTCCCTGAAGTGGGTTTTTGTCTTTGATCCCTCAGGACGGGTACCCATTTCACCAAATAGCGGATTTGTTTCCTTCTTTTAAACTCACTTGGTGAGGTAAGGGCATCCCAAGCTCTGATCTTTTATCTTCTTTTTCTGAAAGAGGTTCAAGTGGATTATATTTATGTTTTCTGCATTTTCTAGCTGGATTAGCATTGGTATAGAGAGATCTGTGGGGTTGAGTTTGTAGCATTTGAGGATTATTTGGGATTTACTTGGAGGTTTGCGGAATTGGGTCTTTGAGATCTTGCTAAATTTGAAGCTGGGTAGTTATTTTCTTTTGGTTTGTGATTGCAGGTTGGGGGTTTGATACTTGATAGGCATTTGAGGATTTTAGTCAACAAAATGGAGATGAAACGAGGGAAGTGGATGACTTTGGTGTTGGCTCTTGTTTTGTTTGAGTTTATGTGTCACAGAATATGTGCTTCATACATTCCTGAAGATAGCTACTTGATTGCCTGTGGTTCTTCAAAAAATGTCACATACCAAGGTCAAACTTTTGTTCCTGATTCAGGCCATTCTTCTCTTGCGTTTATGAGTGGCAATTCTGTTGTTGTTAGTTCCAATTCTACCGTTCCATCTTCCATATATCAATCTGCTCGAATTTTCTCGGGCATTTCTTCTTACAAGTTTGATATCAAGCATAAAGGTCGGCATTGGATCCGCCTTTACTTCTTTCCTCTTCCTAGCTCAGGCCACAACTTGTCATCTGCTCCAATAACAGTTGTCACTGATGATTTTGTGCTCTTGAACAACTTCACGTTCAAGAATTACAAAGGTTCTTATTTGTTCAAGGAGTATGCAATCAATGTGACTTCTGATTCCTTGACCCTTACCTTCATTCCTGCAAATAATTCAGTTTCATTTGTTAATGCAATTGAAGTTGTCTCCATCCCAGATATTGTCCTCCCTGATCAGGCAGTGGCTCTCAATCCTTCTGCCCATTTTAGTAGTGTTTCTGAGCTTGCACTGGAAACTGTTTACCGGTTAAATGTGGGTGGTCCTCTGATCACCTCTCAGAATGATACCCTTGGAAGAACCTGGGAGAATGATGTAAAATATCTTCTTGTTAACAGCTCTGCTCTGAATGTTTCAACAGATCCTAGTTCCATACGATATACAACTACTGTTACAGTTGAAACAGCACCAAATTGGGTGTATGCCACTGCTGAAACCATGGGAGATGCAAACATGAACTCCAACATAACTTGGGTCTTCTCTGTTGATCCAAACTTTGGGTACCTTGTTCGTGTTCATTTCTGTGATATCATGAGTCTGTCTCTCAACTCACTGGTGTTCAATCTCTACATAAATGATCATATTGCTTCTGCAAGTCTTGATCTCTCCTCTGAAACTGGTGGCCTGAATGTGCCCTATTACGAGGACTTCATCTCCAAAACTTCAGCAGATTCTGGTACTTTGACAGTTGGTGTTGGTCCTGATACAGCTGCAGACATTACTAATGCGACACTAAATGGATTGGAGATCATGAAAATTAGCAATGAAGCTGGAAGCCTGGATGGAATTTCTTCAGTTGACTTTTTCATTCCCAAAACAACCTCAAAGAACAAGGTTGGAATTGTGATCGGTTCTGTCATTGGAGCTGTTGCTGTAGTGGCTTTAATTGCATTCTGCTGTTGTTGGTTGGCAGCACGGAAGTCAAAAACTACACAGCAGAGGCATCCACAGCTGCCTCTGCCCCTGTATGGAAACTCTCTAACCGTGACCAAGACGTCCACTAACTCACAGAAGAGTGGAACAGCCAGCTGCATCTCATTAGCTTCCCCCAATCTTGGTCGTCTCTTCACATTCCGAGAAATCCTAGATGCAACCAACAAATTTGATGAGAGCCTACTTCTTGGAGTTGGTGGTTTTGGTCGAGTGTACAAGGGAACACTTGAAGACATGACAAAAGTAGCTGTCAAAAGAGGTAACCCCAGATCTGAACAAGGTTTGGCTGAGTTCCGCACTGAAATTGAAATGTTATCAAAGCTTCGCCATCGTCATCTTGTTTCTCTCATTGGTTACTGTGATGAAAGGTCAGAAATGATTCTTGTTTATGAGTATATGGCTAATGGACCTCTCAGAAGCCATCTCTATGGAACAGATTTGCCGCCTCTGTCATGGAAGCAAAGACTTGAAATATGCATTGGAGCTGCAAGGGGGCTTCATTATCTCCACACTGGTGCAGCCCAAAGCATTATTCACCGAGATGTGAAGACAACAAACATTCTCTTGGACGATAACTTTGTTGCAAAAGTTGCAGATTTTGGTCTCTCCAAAACTGGTCCAGCTCTAGATCAGACCCATGTGAGTACTGCTGTTAAGGGTAGCTTTGGTTACCTTGATCCTGAATACTTCAGAAGGCAGCGACTCACGGAGAAATCAGATGTATATTCATTTGGGGTGGTTCTGATGGAAGTTCTTTGCACCAGGCCTGCTTTGAACCCTGTTCTTCCCAGGGAACAAGTTAATATAGCAGAATGGGGTATGACTTGGCAGAAGAAGGGCATGTTGGATCAAATCATGGACCCTAATCTGGTGGGAAAAGTAAATCCAGCTTCTCTCAAGAAGTATGGAGAGACAGCTGAGAATTGCCTGGCTGAGCATGGGGTTGACAGGCCATCAATGGGAGATGTTTTATGGAACCTTGAATATGCCCTCCAGCTAGAAGAGACCACGTTAGCTCTAATGGAACCTGAAGATAACAGCACAAATCACATCCCTGCCATTCAGTTAACACCACTTGAGCCATTTGACAACAGTGTAAGCATGATTGATGGCGTAAATTCCCGCACTGATGATGATAATGAAGATGCTGCCACAAGCAATGTATTCTCACAGCTAGTAAATCCTCGTGGGAGATGAAGATACGGTTGTTCTTGCCTTTTTCATGATCCGTATTCAGGACACTCCGTCAATGATCTGGTTGTCCTGGCCTCGAGAAATACATTGAAGATATGGGCAGAGTGAATGATGGATACGAAGGTTATCACACTGGTCTTTTCCTTAATTTTTCTTTCATAATTTATTTACTTTGTAATATGGGACCAGAAAATAGCATGTAACTATGTGAGGCACCACAGATATTCCATGACTGTCGATTTAATTCTTTGAGGTTACACTTACACCTATCCATGTTACTTTGACATGGAAAAATCTCATTTATCTTTTCTAGATCAGCTAAAATTTACCCCCTTTTTCTTTTCCTGGTTGTCTAATTAGAGCGCTAAACTTCATCATTAATGTATTGTTTTTCTCCAGAACTCCAACTGGAGAGAGTATACAAGACTTATAATCTGCAGACAGAAGTGATGCTGTTTTATGCATGTCTCCTCCTCCAACTACTGGCATTGTATATTCAACCAAGCACTCCCACCATGATGCTCTAAAAATTACTCTAGTAAGTGCACTAGATGCTCTAAGTAATATAATGATAAATACAATGTTAAACCTGCAAGGATTATATTAACTAAGTGCCAAAAACAATTAACCTAAATTTATTTGAATAGTCAAAAAGATAGAAACTTTAATTAAAAATAACTAAATAATAGTAATAATTAAAATAAAAATAATCAAGATATGGGGTACTACAGTATTTGATTTCACTATAATTAATTAATATGTTTTCAAAACTAATTTGTTGAATGTTATTACATCGATAATGGGTTTCTCTAAATTAGTTAATTAATTTTTTTCAAACCAAATGAATCTTTAGTCACGTCTTTATATAATTTAAAATAAATTAATGACTATTAGATGATATGAAAACCTCTACCTTAAGAAAGTGAAGCTCTTAACTCTCTTCTTTTTTTTTGTTACCACATGTAATGCTAATTGCATTTCAATCTCATAATCTTAACATATAGTTTATATAGTTATTAGTTTAATTTATGCAATTGTTTTTTTAAGGTTATGCATAAATTACATAATCATCAAAAGATAATTAAGTTTTTGAAATATTAAATTCAATAATAAAAACTCATTATATAAATAACTTTAATTAAAAGTATAAAAATCTAAAAATCTATATTAAATTGCCAATTACCTAAGTAACTCAATGGTCATCTTCTTCCGCTAAAAGTAAGATATGAGAGATGGTTGCCTCCTATTATATAACTAGGATAAAAAAAAAATCTATGTTAAATTGATTAGATTACATTGAACTCCTACTTGATTAAATTACTTCATAATAAAATAATACAACTTAAAATTATAGAAATGAATTTAAAAATATTAAAAAACAAACAAAAATAATTTATTTTAAAAAAAAAAAACAAAACTCAATTTAAAATAATTAAAATATTTTATCTTTTATTATTGATTTCTATCCTAATTTTTAAGAGTAGCCAAAAGAAGAAGGTTGCCTAAGCATTCTCCTCCACCTGGAATAGAAGTGGGACCACGTCAAAACAGTAAGGAGTTGGAACGGAGTTGCTGAAAATCGCCTCAGTGGTCAATACTCTCGACAAGGTGGCGACACCTTTAGTGGCGCTCTGAATGAAAGCTCCGTTTCTGGATTTTGGGCTTTAAAGCAATTTTAATTAATGACAAAAGGACAGAACTGGTCCATAATTTTTAATTTCTACACAATTTAATTCTTAACCTTTTAATCTTTGTAAGTTAGTGCTAAAAGTTATAATTTCTTTCAATTAAATCTTCTTAAAAAATACAAATATATAAAATTAAATAAAATCTTATAAAGCTCATTCAAAAAATATCAATAATAACAAAATATAAATTTAATATTAATATATATAAATTCAGCTAACCACTCCACTCTAAAGATGTGGCATTTTAGGCCCTAAAATTTGAAAAAGAAAAAAAATTTAAGCAGCCAAAGGACTTGAACTTAAAAATGCGGTGAGCGTGGATCGAACACGCGACCTTCAGATCTTCAGTCTGACGCTCTCCCAACTGAGCTATCCCCGCGTGGTGCAGATGAGAGACGAATAAAACGACATAAAATAAAGAACTTTTGGGAGTTTTATCACCCGATTGCTTCTTCGGACTTCGTTTTACTGATTGACTCACATTCATAATTCATCCAGATAAACAAAGGGACTAAATCCCAGGTTCTGTTCAACAGCAGCCAACAGATTCTATGTAAGTCTTCCTCTACCTCTCTGCTTATTCAGCTTTATGTTTCTGTTTTTGATATTGGAGTAATTTTACTAGAAAATATTTCATGGGATTTACTTGTCCTCTAGATTACATCAGAAAGCATAGATTTTAAATTTTCATTTTTGGTTCAATTCAGTGGTATATTTGTTTCTTTGGTAATGGGAATTGGGAAAGAAAGATGCAGAAGAAGAAGTAGAGCTTCCCAAGAACGTAGAGGGAATTCCAGAAAGATTGAGGTGATCTGATATTTTGGATCATTATGAAAGTAGTGAGCTTTATGGAAGAAAACATTAATTTTGAAGCTAAAACATTTTTTTTCCATCAAATTATTACTAAGTGATGCCAATCCAGGGGAAATGCAAATGGGTTTAAAAAGCATTACCGTCCCCAACAGAGCTTAGTGCCTTAGTGGGTTGGTACCTGTTAACTTAAAAACCTTGATTCTGGTGTTAAGATTAGGGGTTCAATCCGTACAATAGCTAAGAATTAACTTCCTTTGCCAATTGAAAAAAAAAAAGAGAAAAATGCATTATTGTTATCCTATGTTTGCTTTATGGGAATAATCAGAAGAAAATGTGTCATACCAGAATTCAGGAAACTGAAGAATATAAGAATGAAACTAAGAATGGGATAGGACTGATGGGTGATGATTTCATTACAAAACAGTAAGTGTTAACTAAGGTTCTGTCATTTTTTGGAGTAACATGGTGCTTTGTGGAAGTCTTTAGTGGCACCCTTTTCTACCACTGCTTGGTGCTTATATTATGATTATGTCAATATCTTTACTATCAACAATGGTGTTTTTTGTTGCACATTAGTTCTAATAAGTAATAGCTATAGCCTTGTGCAGCTTGTAGTCCTGTATTTTTTTGGTGGTCAAACGAGAGTTTCAGCAACAATGAATACTGGACAACTGACTCTAATGGGATCCACTGTATGTGTGATGCTTACAATGCATTTCTCACTACAGCTTCTTTCAGAACATATATTTTGTTGGAAGAAGCCAAAGGAGCAAAAAGCAATAATAGTTATCATACTCATGGCTCCCATATATGCTGTTGACTCGTTTGTTGGTCTAATAGACATCCAAGGAAGCAAGGCATTTTTTATGTTCTTGGACTCAATTAAGGAGTGCTATGAAGCTTTGGTAAGATTTCTACACCATATGATGATTTTGACATATGTGCATAAAAAAATGGATAAAGGATAAGGAATGTTTTGGAGAGAAATTAGTGACTGCAAATGATTCAGTTCATTTCTACTGAGCTTCTCAGTTTGTAATGTGCAGGTGATTGCAAAGTTTTTGGCTCTGTTGTACAGCTACCTGAATATATCCATAAGCAAAAACATAGTGCCAGATGAGATCAAAGGAAGGGAGATTCACCACTCATTTCCAATGACTCTTTTTCAGGTTGTGAAATTTTGGGCTTATCTAACTTATAATGCAATTGCACTCTAATTGCATTCCTTATCTTAACCATGAAGTTAGCAAATAGGCATTAGTACTTGTTTAGACCGGGCATGTTATGGTGTAAATGTAAATGAACTCATTGTATCTGTCTATTGCAGCCTCACACTGCTCATTTGAACCATCATACACTGAAGCTTCTCAAATACTGGACATGGCAATTTGTTGTAATTCGCCCTATCTGCTCCATTTTGATGATAACTCTTCAACTTCTTGGGTTGTATTCAAGTTGGATCAGCTGGACATTTACCATTGTGCTGAACATTTCTGTGTCACTGGCTCTCTATTCTCTTGTTGTTTTCTACCATGTATTTGCTAAGGAGTTGCAACCACACAAACCTCTTGCCAAGTTCTTGTGCATCAAAGGAATTGTCTTCTTCTGCTTTTGGCAGGTAATTTAATTCCTCTTGCACATTCTCTTCTTTCAGATGGTGTTAGTGAATAAACTTGACTTGGAATTGAAACTCTTGACAATAGAGCCTCTTCAATTATCTTTTGCAGGGGATTGTGCTTGATATTCTCGTAGCTTTGGGCATAATCCGGTCATATCATTTCTGGCTTGATGTGGAACACATAGAAGAAGCTCTTCAGAATGCATTAGTTTGTGTAGAGATGGTTTTCTTTGCTGCTTTCCAGCAGCATGCATACAGTGCCATACCATACAGAGATAACTACACCACATCAACAACGATACCGGATAAGAAGAAAGATTGATTCAGGGATTCCCACCAATGAAACTGAAAAACTTTTTTGTGCTCTTTATGATCCATACTAGATATCCGCAATCTTCCCAACATTTCATGTTTAAGAGATGCAAGTTGCTCTTCCATGTGCAATCTAGTTACTTTTCCCAATTTAGCTTCAGCTTATACTTCTGGTATTTATTGGGTTAAGTCACTTCCTCTATTGTAAGTACTAAAATTGATTTATCTTTCTTTGTGTTACATAAGCAATGAAAGAAACGACGAAAATGGTTTTAAAAAGATAGTACATCAAATCTATTATCTTACAATGCGCATTTACATTCAAACAGTAAGGTACTTGGGTTGAATGCTTCTCCATTTCTCCAAACGACAATCTAATAGGTCCCTCAAATCATTGACACAATGTTGGTACATGGAACAACAAGAGCCAACAATTTATGTCGGGAGATTAAGATATATCTAAAGTACTAGAGTGTGAATGTACATGGTGAGAGTACACTAGAGACTTTTTTTTTTTCTTTTTATCACATATTTGAAAGCTTTAGACATATAAAGTTTAGTTGAAACGAAATACAATGAACAAGTCAGTGGGTTTAACTAGCATGCAAATCCCATCAAAAAGAGTAATCTCCCACGGACGATCATGCGAATCCCACTTTCAAATTGCCACCATAAGAAGTTATCGAGAGATCACCAAGATCGGCGTCGCTCACAATATTTTCCATCTGCGCACCTCACCAACCACATAGTAGGTATACGTTTCATTGCCTTATTTGAAACTTGCGTTTCCAACTCCAAATGATAAGATTAAGTTTCTTTTCTTTACTTATTTTAATTTCTCATCGGTAGTTTTATACTCTGATATGGTTGAGTAGGGTGGATTGGCGAGCTTTGAGAGAGGTAGGACTAAAAGTCGAGGATGTAAAGGAGAAGGAGGGCAAATCAACTTTGCATTATGCAGTGGCTAAAGGAAAATTTGATGCCTGCAATTAGACGTGGAAATTGATATCATGGATAGCCGCAGTCAGACTCCTTTACACCTGGCAATTCTCAATGGGAATTCTATCACTGCTGAATATTTGCTTGAGCTAGAAGCAAATCCAAATGCTAAAACTGTTTATTAGCGAACTCCTTTTGCATTGTGCTGTTGAAAGAAGTATTTAATTAGTTTTAAATAAAAATTGACAGCTGTTTTAGCACTTTCTCATATGGCTCAAGTGGTCACGTTTCTTCGTATGAAAAGTGAAGTGAAATATAGCACATGATCATCAGGTCAACTTTCTGATCGGTACTCGAATAGATACCAACTTATTAATCATGTTTTTTATAGTCAAAAAAAAAAAATTGATAGCTGTTTTAGCACTTTCTCATGTGGTTCAAATGATAACGTTTCTCTGTGTGGCTCAAGTGGTCACGTTTCTCTGTGTGAAAAGTGAGGTGAAGTATAGCACATGATCATCAGGTCAACTTTTCAATCGGTACTCGAATAAATATTAACTTATTAATCATGTTTTTTATAGTAAAAAAAAAAAATTGATAGCTGTTTTATTCTTATTTTCCAGTTCTAATTTGTAATTGCTTATATAGTTTCTTGGCTAGTTATGAGCTGTCTTTTGCTTTCTATTCATATGATTGAACCCTTTTTGTTATAATTACCTGTGGAGGATTAGGGCACTTGTACGTTCTTTCATTGGGAATTTTCATTTCGTTTATGTTGACACTTGAATTCCTGGGATTGTTGCAGGTTCAGTGAGACTTTTGAATATCCTAATATTGAAAGGTACCAAAATCAATGCAGTGGGTGATTATTGTGGCACACCATTGTAACATGCAGTTAAAGTGGGCCAAAAAGAAATGGAAATTGTTGAGTTTCTGTTGGATAACAATACTGATGTAAGACAATTCACAATTTCGTTATTAATTTCTTTTCAATATCTTCACATTAATATAAATATTGCCTAAGTAATTCTTTCTATATGGAATAAAATTTCTTATAGAGTATTTCTTCTCTTGGATTTTGTTGCTACTTTTTCATTTTGCATTATTTTTTGTCTACTTAATTGTTGCTTATCTCACTTCTCCAACCAAATGCAATTTTAGATAATTTAACCTCTCCCCATTGCTAGTATTTATGAGTGATAAAAAATTTGATAGTATGAAGCAGCTACTTAAGGTATAACATTTACATGATTGTCCAAGTAATTCTCCCTATATGGGATAAAATTTCTTCTAAAGCATTTCTTCTCTAGGATTTTATTACTACTTTTTTGCTTTGTTTTATTTTTTTTTTACCTAGCTAATTGCTGCTTCTCTCACTTTTCAAACCAAATGCAATTTCAAATGATTTAACCTCTCCATTGTTGGTATTTGTGAGTGATCGAAAATTTGATAATATGAAGCAACTACTCAAGGTACAACATTTTCTTGATTGCCCAAGTAATTCTTCCCATATGGGATAAAATTTCTTCTAGAGTATTTCTTCTCTTAGATTTTGTTCTTACATTTTTGTTTTGCTTCCATTCTTCTCTGGCTAATTGCTGCTTATCTCCCTCTCCATTGTTTTTTTTTTTTTTTTGAACATTGAGAAATTAGGGGAAGGGGATAACATTACAAGAAATTGAACCATGACAAAGTCCATGCCCAAGATGTACCGTACCAATGTAGCTAGAGTTGTGGGTGCCACTCTCCAGTGTTTGTATTAGTGGGTGGTTGAAAGTTTGATACTAAGAAGCAACTACTTAAAGTATTGCATTTTCATTTTTTTCTCATTTATATTAGTATTACATGATATGATTTGAGGAAATTACCCCTATCTCTATCCTATGTGACATGCCACTACTGTGGAACCTTCCACTTTTTTTTAACATTTTTTCCCTTTTTCTAAGTTAGCAACGTATCAGCATTTCTATCCTAGTCAATAGGGATCATATGGCGCAGAAGGTTAGTTATTCTACCACTAATAGAAGAGTCATAATATATGGGTAATTTTTTTATATTATTTTTTTATATTATTTTTATATGTAGTTAAAGAGTAGATGCACTCAATAATATCATAAGTTTAAAATGAATAAAAAAATTAATTATTTAATAATATATAAAATTATATAAAACAATGATAACAAAAATCATTCCTAAATCATTTTCCTTATAATTGCAACTTGCAAGTTACAACCCAGTTTGATGTCATTTGGGCTGTGCCGTTGAGAAATTCGAACATGGTATTTTAAGGCCCACAGTGTGGTCCAAGTTCAGTCCAATTTAAATCGTAGGGCTAATCCAAGACAGTAAAATGGTCATGGACCAGGCTGGCTCTGCCTTACTTCGTTTGCTTAACTTCTTTAAAAAGAACAAGCAACAAAGTTTGGCTAGCCAAGGGGGTTTGCGGACTCTCTACTCTCCTGACCTCATTAACTAATACTCCATTCTTCAAGAGGTAATTTCAAGCCCCTGATTCTTTGTTTAAAAAAATAAATTATTTTAATTTATTAAGGTGCAATTCTCCTCTTCTTCTTGGGGTTGGTTAAGCTTTCATGATACCTTGTTAAAGAAAAATATTTTAATTTTAAAAATATAGAGAAAGTGATTTTATTTTTATAATATTTTATTAAAATAACATAATTTTAAATATTATCTAATATTTTTACAAACCCCACTAATAAATATTAATCTCTAATAAATTAATATATAAAAAAATTTTATTAAAAATATTTTAATAATTTCAAAGAGAATCCTTATCTTAAAAGACATGTACTTAGACTTGACAAAGAAATCATATCAAGTGATTTTGAATTGAGTCATCTCAAAATTTAAATTTATTAGAGTTGATCGTTTCATGTTAAAAGAGTAATTCATAACTCACTTTTATAAATTTTAAATT